ATTCGTGCCTGATTTATTATTCACAATTCAAACAGCAATTTTGTTAAAAATGAACGAAATTTAAATTAAAAAAAAGCTTGAAATCTCTATTCTTGAATGATTACTGTATTTTTTGAATTTATGTGAGTTTTATAATTTTTACATGTAGAAAACTACGAGTTAAACAAAACGGGAAATTTTTTTTTTCATTTTGTGGATCTATCACATGTTCGAAAAAATTTGCAAAAATTTTTTAATTTCTAGTGTAAAAGCTTAAAGTTTTCCCTATAAAATCGTTTTTAAAAAATGTCTCTACGATTTTTTGTTACTGAGTTGTTGCGAATTAAATAAAAAGAATATTTTGACTTTGATTGCTCATAACTCCGTCAAAACCATCACAATTTAAAAAAACAGATTCTTAAATTCTCTCATCAGATAGAGTAAGATTTAGATTTTATTTTATTTTTAACAAAAATAGCAACTGTTTGAATTTTGAATAATAAATTAGGCACGAATTTTTGCATTCACTCTATTATATAGATATCGTGAAGGTCTATCAGAGCTTTATAGCTAGTTAACGTGCGCTAATTTAAATAATCATGTAATCATTCAAATAATATAAAACTCTGATAGCCCCTCACAATATACATACACAGAAAAAATGTTACGGTTGTCACAGTCGGAAATAATGATAATTTTCGTCCATTAATACATTTGGTTGTGATAACCGTAAGATGGACATATCTGAACAGCCATAACCGTTAAGATATGCCAATCTTACGGTTATCACAATCGTACTATGGTTCTTATAACCAAAAAATGTATTGATAGGCGACTTTTGGTCGTGGCAACCGTCTTTTCCATGTAAAATTCTTACTTTTGTTAAATTACTTTTGTTAAAATCTATCAATTTATAAAAAGGATTTGCCATCATTACTTGTCAGTATGAATGACGAAAAATGGAGAATTTATAAAATAACTTCGAAACTATAAGTGGAAAGAATGATTATACTGACTGCATGCCCGGTATGTAAGTATTGAAATGTAAGAATTTCTATTGCTCAATATTAAAAAAAATAATTTATGAACGAGAAATTAAACTGTCTCGATTATGGATTGTTCGATGTTGCGAGGATATTGGCGAGTATTGCATTTGCCAATTGTATAATTTGATCGCATCGTTTCGCCGTCCGGCGTGACAGATTAATGCAAGAAATCTTTAAATGTATCCGGAAATAAGGTAAATTACATCGATTGTCATTCAAATGATAGTGATGCCTGTGCAAGTTTGTATTGTTCATAACCGATCCCTTCAAATAATCGATGCACAAGCGAATTATTCAAATTTAACGGGGAGTTGTATAATCATAAATCGCACAGAGTCGGAAAAACGATCGCGACATAATCAGCCAATAAGCTAGCTAGTCGGCAGTGAGGAAAAATTCAAATGAAAGTTGCCATACGCAACATAACATAACTTGTTAGCTAAAAATCTTGCGTACGAGGTGAACGGGCCTCCCTTTTTAACGCGAATCCGCAACCGAACCGATAACGCCTCGACAATTTACATCAACCGATACATAGGCGGCGTTGATAACAATTTGTTCGATACTGGGAACGAGGACGGGAACGACAGGTTGAGTGAAAGCTATCCTCTGTCCATTTCCGTAAGCATGCGCAAGTATTTTGCATAATCACCTCTAATTGCTGCAATAATTATCACACTTTCCTCCATTAATGAAAACACCATACGAATATATACAATCAGTAGCTACAACATTGCGTTAAAATGTCACGACGAATTGAAGATATGTTTAAAATCAACACTGCTGATATCATGAGCCAGTTAGTAGAAATATGATGAGAATGTAGAAAATATGATTTCTCGAAATCGCTGACAAAGTGTTACAGGAAATATTTCTCAAAAGACACATGGGAGTTGGAACTCTTCATTTGATAATATAATTACCTTAATACAGTTGACATTATAATTATCCTCATTGTGAGTCCCAAGAGGAGTTTTCCTTTCTATGTCAAAGAAATCAGCAGGCTCAACGATATTCCCGCGCTATTCGAGACGAGCAATGGTAAAATAACGTGAAAGCAGAATGGCGTGGCCTAGACGAGACTGGGATTCATTGAAGTCCTCCTTTCTTCCTTTTCTCGCTAACCTCGAGTGACGCTACTAATTTTGCGTAAATGATATGTACCGTCACGAGATAGGATTCACGTGTTGCATTTTCAAACCTATTGCTCGCAGAAAAATACATTCTCTTAAATTGAGTATCCCTATACATTTTACAGAAACAAATTAATATTTCTCTTTTAAAATTCTTTAAAATATTTCGTTAAAATTCTGTTAAGATTGCGATTAGCGATAAAACTTGACTAAATTTCCTTTCTTTCTCTTTCTCTCTCTCGTGATTTTAAATCTAGGAATGTTTGTCAATCACGATGGTTCTTAGTAGTTTCAATAATAATGCAATACAATTTTGTTACTCGATTTGTTATGAATTACAAAGTTACTTGATCTACGTAGAACAATAAAATGACACCGTGTGATAAAATGACAACCATGTTCTAGTGAACGTGCATCATCTACCTTGCGCGTTCTTTCGAGAGAACTGCTCAGAACGCATGGGTGTTCACCAAGGTTGAATCGAGGCTTGCATCAGCGATGTACGTCACGCTCATACGATTATCTGTTGGTAATCGAGGAAAAACGTGGGCAGTGGAATTTCAGAAACAACACCAATCATGACGTTGCTGTTGACAGACGCAACGCTAACGTGTTTCTGCTTTCTGTATAACAAAGGCATGCAGCCACATAAACCAATCGCTTTGAGAACAATAAAGCTTCGATTACATTTCCCACCTAGATATGATACTTTTTAGATTTTTTTTCATTGCTACAGAACAAAGTAAAATTTACGTTAAATAAACTTTTTAATAAAAAATATGTGTTTTATTATCAAAATTATGCTAATAAATGTATCATCGCTAATGTTTGATGATCTAATCGATTAGAGATTGATTTTCCTTCAGCGAAAACAATCCTGATTTCAACAATCTTTAAATAAAATTAGGGAATTAAAACATGCAGATCATAAACTGACCGATCTTCCAAAATAAGTTAAACAAATAATGTAACTATATTGAGAAAAAAATGTGCTAATTTTTAATAAATATTTGTTTCAATAGTACTAACTGAATATTTAGTAAATTTAAATATATATTTATTTGATATAAGAGAACCTTTAACTCTTTCAGACCTGACTTTAATGGAATCATGTTAAAAAACTGTTTTCAAGTTTAAGTTACTAAAAAGAGCACTTTAACATAAATAATTCATAGCACAATATTAATTTCTTTCAAAATTTTGATTATTTTTCCAACATTATATTATATACGCTAAAAAAAATTCACGAAATTTGAATAAATATTTGTTTAGATAGTACCAATGGGACCATTTACTTACAGTAAATAAATATTTGTTCAATTCAAGAAAATTATACTTAATTTAAGTATTATTTTTTTAAATCGAATAAATATTTAGTTTCTGTAGCAAATGATCTTATTGGTACTATTTAAACAAATATTTATTCAAATATTTCGTAAATTTTTTTTCAGTGTACATCTGATTTCAGATAATATTGATAGAGAAAAATAATATAAACAGTTAATGTCTTCAAATCTTCAGTCTTAATACATTGCAATGTATACAAGATTTAAAGGGGTTAATTTGATTCAACTGTCATTTTTTTTATTTACCAAATATTTATCTATCATAAATGATAAGTTAGTACTATTCAAACAAATATTTATTAAAATTTAATACATTTTTCTATCAAGTGGAAACAGTTCTGTGCGGGGACCGCGTAGAGCTGTTGATATTGTTTATGAAAACGAGTGGAGCGTTGAAAGAAACGCTTTCGCGAAACAGCGGTACGTTTTATCAGCAATCTGCGGACAACGGATCGAGCGAAATGCCTCGTGGGAAGTGACTCGTGTACGCAAAAAGAACGAGCACGCGTTTTCGACGCGCAGAAATGTTTCTTTCCGTCGCGGACGCCGACGCGACGGTTGCGATTCATGCGTTAAGATTTCCCGCGTATATAGCGCGATGTATCATTATACTTTCTACCAGACGTTGAATCGGGAAATCGAAGACGAACTTTCTAGAAAATAGATCGTAACGATTCAAGCCGGCATTGATGTCCGCTCGCCGAGGACGAGTTCCGCCGGATCGGTGAGACTATCAACCATGAGAGACCGCCGCCGATCGGGGCGAAATCGACGCACGCCTACCACACGATCTGAAATTCCATTAAATTTCGAGGACGGCATGTGCGAAGTCGAACGTAAGAAAGCACGGAACAACTTGCTTGTCGACACGCACGAGTAAACGCTCTCTATATGGATTCTCATGGTCTCTTCATGGGTGGGCTCTTCGAGGAATATCGATGTCTCGAAGTGACGTGAAATAAAGCGGGCGTCATTTTCTCTACTCGTAATTTCATCCATCGATCAATTTCTTAATATAAATAGTGAAACTCGCGTGAGCATCAATCGCGCTATGATTTATTATATACACAGATTTTTATATCGCTAATTCATTTTAAATCGTTCGTTTTCAGCCCTATTTTTATAATTAAGTCTTAAAATAGTTTGACGTAAACCAATTAACTAGAATTTAGAATAAATCCTGAGAAGGCAAAGCTGCTCGCCATCTCTTTCGCTAAAAACGCGAGAGGGAGAGATTCTAACAGATGTTCTATCACAAGAACGCGATATTCTTACTTTCTAACGATAATAACATTTTCGCGAAAGGAAGAGCGCGTATACACTTCATCTGCATTCGCAAATACACGTCCGGTAGCTCTCTCCGTAAGGCGAATTATTCGTTGCGACTTTGTTCTTGCCCTTTCACTTCATCATCGTTAATAATGCATTTGGTATAACTTTCGTTGAATAAGAAACTCAACACTTGACGCTCAAAGAATTTTTTCTTTCTGTTACAGCAATACGCGAGCAAGCATGCCGAGCAAAGCCATTTGGTGGAACAAATGAATATGAAATATTATTATTTCACGAGGACTCAAGGTCTATTTAGGATATGTTATCCTAAAGAGAGACCACCAACGGGTAAGAATTCTCAAGTAGAGTTGATCATTTAGTAATTAAACATCATGCATGATTTAATAAAAGTTGCGAGGAACTTGACGTGACATCCTGAATAGATTTAGAGACGATTTGCAGTTAAAAATTATTTCGGTATATGTTATTTTTTATTTGATGAATATTTTCTTTTCATCAAGCATTCAATTATTCGCTATTAAGATCAACATCACTTTATGCATTTTGCTATTCCCATATTGGTGGTTGCGAAAAAGTTTTAAAATTACTTATAACGTGTGTAATTATTTACATTATTATTTTTATAGTACATTGTCAGCGGACAGGTTATATAATTACGTCAAATAATGAAAATTGCAAAGAATTGGACTGGCGTCTTATCCGCCTTTGATCAGTATCCTAATAATTGTGTTAGGATCGGCAAATTCTTCCGAGTTCCTCGTTCAACGACACCCCTTACGCGGCCTTTAGGAAACTTTCTAAGTTATGATCTCGTAATGTCGTAGGTTATCCGATCCGACGTAATAGGTTAACAGTTTATAATCAGTCGCACAGACGCGCACAATCTTTGGAGAAAGGTACATTTTCACCCGTTAGCTCCGCCACGGTGTATCTCGCGGCGCTTTCTCATCCTAGGATTCATCATCGCATAGCCAAGCGTTATGTTTTCGTATGAAAAATATCAACGCAATGGATCATAAAATACCAACGTTCACTTTCTTGTTTATTGAGAAGTAATTACCTCAGAAAAAATATAGACATTAAAGCATTCGCTTGCTTTCAAGTTAAATCCTTACAAAAATACTGATCTAATACTGATCAGTTTAACACTAAAATACAATAATTTATTATTTATTTATTTATTTATTATTTATTATTTATTTATTTAAGCACGTTGTTATGCGTTTTTAGTACCCCAAATAAGTAATTAATTATTGTCTTTTGGTAATAAAAATTGGCTAGTATTAGATTTCTGTAAACAAAGCATCTCTGTCTTATAGTGGAAACTTTTGAACAAATTCTTAATTGTGGCGAAATATTTAAAAAATTTATTTATTTTAACTGTAAAAATCCAGGGGATTAAATTATTTTATAAATTGTATGCAAAATTATCATCAAATGAACTTACGATGAACAGAAACACATAAAATAAAGTCGATTCACTGCGGAGCAACGCATTAGGTACATCCGCTAGCTGTTTTATTTTGTTTTACAACAAATCAATAAAAATGATTATGTAAACGATCATCATGGTTTTTCAGGCACTATTTCGAACGAAATAATAACGGAAATACGGAATTCTACCTTTGAATCAACTTGCGTAAAGTTTTTACGTTGGTATCGACCGCGAGAATCGTCGTCTTCAATTACTTAATGGACGATAAGACTTGCCGGATTCGAAGACTCGGGTCTTTTTTTTTTCAGAGCGCACATCGTAAGTGGACCGTTGCGATCATAGCTGTTGCGAAACAGCCGACGTGCCAATCGATCGACCGATCGCTCGCGTGTTAATGTCTTGGAAACACAAGTTGCGTCCGAGCTTCGGTTGTCTGTGAGCAAAGAGGACAAAGTTTCCTCGAAAGATTTTGCCAAATATAAATGCAAATTTATTTTTGTGAAGTATTTTTAGAAATCTCTTTTCCTAAAATATAAAGACTAATTATTAAAGTTTGTATAAGATAAAAGTTTAAATACTCTGAAGATATAAGAGAAAGGACATAGAGTAGAGTAGCGTCGATTTTAAAAAGAAGATGCGATTAAATTAGAGTCTTAAATCCAATATTTAAAGTATTTAAACCCGGAATAAAAGTACGCATGTTACGCACAAGGATGTGATCAAATCTTACTCCCCGTGCGTAACTTCGCATCGTGTATAACGCTCTATGGCTTGGAACGCCTTTCCAATTAGAAACTTTCTACGATAATGACGCATGATATCTATATATCGTACTGTTCAGCAAGGTATCACATACTTTTAAGATAATAAATGAAGAATCTCGACAATGTTTGTCTTTGTAGATAATTAAACCAATTAAGAATGAAATACGTAACTCCAATGATATACAAAGCGCAATCATACGTAATCAAACGCGATGATACATGATTTAAAATTACAGAGAATGTAATTAAATCCGTAATCAAGGTAATTAACCTGATTATAATCATAATCTCATATAATGACTCTGATGTTCATCGTTTCATTCAGGAAATATGTGCCGATTAAATGAATTTTGATACAAATCTAGGTCACAAAGTATAAATTAAGATATTAAAGCTGTCCAATCAAATTGATTGATCTAAGCATCAGTTCCTTCGATAATTATTATATTTAATCTTTTCTCTACTAAATTTTGTCTTTAAGTAAAGAAAGACAATTAAACTACAATTAAAATAAATTGGCATTGGAAGAATCGATTTTAATCTAAAAGTTTCTATAATTAGTATATAAGTAATGTTTCACACACAAAAAACAACACAACACACACACACACACACACACACACACAGATTAAAAATCTGTCGCATAACAGATAAAATCTGTTATATTCTGGAATGCATATGCACGAGAATTCTAAAAATGAATTAAAATAATGTTAATGTACACGATGAAAAAATTTTTTTTTTTACGCCATACAAATCGACTTTTACATATCTCGATGATCACACAATGTTCATTCCACGACGTAATAATAATCTGAAATTACTATGCGAGCGGCAGCGTCGCGAGGACGTGCATTACATACGATCGAATTGTGCTGTAATCGCAGATCGGTTTCACTAAACGACAAAAAATATCATATGATAAATATGTAAATGGTTTTCTGTGTCTACGTGTCGTGTTATGCAAGGAATGTAAAGATGTATAACGTAATAAGACTTAATTTTAAATCATACTCTATAAAAAAATATACAATCATGAATGCAAAACAGCGCACTTTGCTCTTCAGTTCCAGAAGTTGTGCAAGTCGTCTTAGATAATTTCTATTTTTAGAACTATACACATTCTAGGATTAACTTTTCAAATCTCTTGTGTTATTATATTGAACGTCCGTCTGATAAAGTACGCAATTATCCGCAAAATCGAGATTTCGGATTAGACTTTCGAAAACGTCGAGCGAGCGGAGTCACGTTTCGATTCTTAAGATGGCGACCTAGGAGTTAAAAGAAGAAGAAAAAAAAGAGAAAGACACGTGCGAGTATACTTTTCATACAAGTCCGGTACGCGATACAGGTGATTCCAGTTCTTCCGGAAGTTTCAGGTTGCGCATTCTTTGAACAGGAAGGGAAAACGCGCTGCGCGTTACGAAGTGAAAACGTACCTTATGGCTAGCAGTGTAGATGCGAACATACATTAGGGAGCTCATATAAAATCCATTGTTGTTCGCACAATAGCGAACCATCGTAAGGAGGAAGCGGTGCTTAGTGTTCAGTAAAATTCCGAGGTGCACGCGAGGAAAGTGTGTCGATGTCACATGTTACGGTCGAGATTTCTCGAGATAGGATTGATTAAAAATGAATAAAGTAGTCATTGAGACTAGATCCTTCAACGTGCGCTTGAATAAGACTTGTATATATATATATATATATATATAATAAAAATACATGCACATAAAATGTCATAACATTTAATTATCTCATTAAAACTATATTTGTGGGGAGTATCGGTATTTTTAAACTGTGTGTGACAGCAAATTCTAGCTGTGTTCTAACATTCACTGCTAGTGCTGAAAATTATAATTTACGTTAGGTTAAGTCCACAACCTTGCTTTAAGATCTGGTTTAAATCAAAGTAAGTCGCTTAAAATCAAAGTAACGTTGGTGCAATCGAGCCTAAGAGGCCGTAAGCCGTAAGCTCTAAAGTCTAAGTTGTAAATGACGACTACAAATATCGGCCACAGAACTTATGAGGTCGTAAAAATTGGGTTTTGCTCAAATCGCTTAAGTCTAACGGTTAAGGTCTAAATGCTGCACAAAAACAGTTTAAAGACAGAAATTATTGTCATTTAATTTCTTTCAACTTATGACTGAAGGCCTCTTAAAGCAAAGTTGTGCAGGACCGAGCATTACGTGCATTGTAAGTTTTCAGCACTGGCAGTGAATTTTGGAACACAGTTTCTGTATTTTGTGGAAATTCTGTTAAGTGTGAATTTTGTTAAAAATCAATGTATTATATCTACGTAAAACAAATGATATGTCATTTCATGCGCCATCCTGTAAATATCAATCAACATTAAAATATAGTCATTAAAATATATTTCTATAACATACATTTAGTTATATTTTATTGGGACAGCTTCTTTCGCGTGATTTCGCAAAATATCATAAAGAGATAAGGCTTCCTTCCAAAGCCTTACGTGCGCAAAGCTTCTCCGCTAAAAATTGCGGACAACAGGTGAAATTGCTGTCCCAAAATCCCGACGGTCAGGATGTCAAGACTGCAACGATCAGTTGCTTTCTTATACAAAACGGTATAGCGGTATCCTGGTAAAGTGGTAACAAGTCGCCTCGTCTCCATTAGTTGGATAACATGAATGTAATCTCCCTCATTATCCCACCTCATTATAACACCGGTGTCTGTCTTCGAGAGGACCAAACTTCTGCAGATCTCGAAATAGTCACAGTAAACACCAGGCTTAATGATCAAACTAAACGATCTGATTCGGATAAAATGCGAGCGATTCGACAAAGCGGATGCTGAAGGCGGCGGAAACAATGCTTTCTCACCGGGTTCACGAACGAAAATACGCTCTCGCCGCGCCGGTAGGAGTACCTGTTCGGCAGGTATCGTGGGATCAGAATAAACGGCGAGGAAAGGCGAGTGTATCGCAAGGCTGGATCGGTGAGAATCGATTCTATCGGTCGTTCGATCCGCAATGGTCTGCCCGAAGAGAGAAGGAATTACCAGACGCATAAAAGGTTCCTTCGTGTTTATTCTCGTCGCTTGGCTGGAAAACAATCAAAATGATCGATGCATCACTCGTATATCGCGGTACCGTTCGCCGACCGATGTATTCGCCGGGGACGACACCTTATCGGTTTCGGCATGCCGTTTTCTTCCGGCGATCCGTTTCCGGCAGCTTCGATTTATTAGGGTCGCGTGATTGTGTTTGACCTTTGCAGTGTGAAGAAACCAAAACAAATGTGCAGTTGATTTTGCGAATAATATTAAGTGAGGAATTACAAAATTTGACTTTAAAAATTGTATTTTTATTGTATTAAATATATCCTTTAATATTTTAACATGTTCTATATTTTAGAAATATATCTATATTCTATCCCCACCTCCATAATTCCCTGTATATGTATGTATCACGTCCAAACTTTAAGGTATCCTTTTTATTCTTGGAGACATTTCGTGAAAAATCCTCTGTTCTTAAAAAGAACTCCAGAATTTTATTAATATATCTTAATGTCCTCATTAATAAAAATTATATTTAAATTGTATAATAAGACTTAATGTCCTTATTAATGAAAATTATATTTAAATTGTATAATATTACTTTTTTTTAATTCAAGTTTTATGCATATGATATATAGCGAGAATTATTTTATAATTTGACACGCAAAATTCCGTTATCGCAGGATCGGAAGTGAATTTTTCCGGAGATAACAACTTCATGGTCGACCTCGTCATATTCTGCTCGATATATATCTCCATTGGATAATATTTCATTAAGTAGGTTTTTATGGATGACTTTGTATCACGCTCTTGTATACCGTTGTCGCGTCGGTCAGCGCCGAAAATCGAGGTCAGCATGTGCGATTGCGAATGCACACGTGAAAAATCCGAAGAAACCAGTCAACGACCGGTCCGGTGGCTTTTATCTACCTGCCGGTATCGCTCGTATCACGCGACGATGCGCGATGCACGATGAAAAGTACGAGGGCTCGCCGACCGCGATCGCTCGGCATCGCCACCGTCGCCGACGACTCCTCTTCCGGAATGGCGAGGAGTGTAGCGCGTGTACAGTTAGGCGCGAGTCAACGATCTTGGCATGGCGCCTTATTTCGTTTAGGCGAAACTAGATTCAAGAGGGTCGAGGAAACGTCCGTCACCTGAATCTTAAATATTTCGAACGGTATGTTTCCCTGAGAAGGTCGACCATGAAGTTCCTACCTGCAGAAAAATTCACTTCCGGTCCTGCGATAACAGAATTTTGCGTGTCAAATTAATAAAATAATTCTCGCTATATATCATACGTATAAAACTTGAATGAAAACAAGTGTAATATTTTTATTGTATAATTTAAATATAATTTTAATTAATGAGGACATTAAGATATATTAATAAAAATTCTGGAGTTCTTTTTAAGAACACAGGATTTTTCGCGAAAATAAATAACGGAATGTTACTAATTGACTGTTTGAAAAATTTATTATGAAATCATAATAATTAAAAAAAAACTGAAATTAGTTCCATTTGTTACTTCCAACAGTTCTTTTCAACGGAAGACTTTCACTTAATCACAACTAAAGAATGAAACAAAAACCAGTAATCAACTATCCACAAAGGAGAATTAAATCTACAATTGAAAAATACACAATATCCAAAGAAAAAAAAATATTATTTAGTTCGAAATTAATGCAAAACTTTTATTTCAAATCTTCGAATCGTTCGAATTTGTTCTCGCTAAAAAATTCCTCCTTGAATCTCATTAAAGTCAATAATATGATCTGATTAATTAAAAGCTCGGGGAGTTTTTGAGATACTTTTGATGGACAATTATCAATGATTTATACATTCAGTAGAAAAAGTATATCTTTGCAACTGTACATACTTTAATACGATTGGTTCATATTTAGATCCAGTGAGAGGAACTAAGGGCAAAATAAATCATATTAAAAAATTTCACAGCAATAGTTTTTTCTGCTGAACGCAATAATTGCGATCGTCTCGGTTTGTCAGACAAGACGCGCCATTCCATTCACCAGGAAAAGGAATCGCGAAAGCGCGGCTGCTTTACAACTTTTTCCTAAGGTGGCGTTTTGTGGATTAGGATTCATTGAAGGAGTACCGTTGTAAAAGAGCCGAAAGACCGAGTGCAAGTTCCCCTCTTCTGCGGGGAATACAGGTAAAGGCATACCGCACACTTCGCGTCCGGTGATAGCGCCCGCTGCATTCTGGGTCGCATGCTTCTCGAGGCTCACGCTCGTTGACGCTGTCGGGACTGTGGGATCACGAAACACTGATAAATCCCAGTAGTAAATTCCCCATGGAACATGATCCCCCGAGGATATCTAATAAATGCACCTTCAAGGATCCCTCACGCCTCCTCCGTTCGCAACCGGAGAATAAATGGATATAACGATCAGCACTTGGTCTCTCATTATATACATATCTATAGGAAATCACACTGAGAGATTTTTAAGATTTTTAAGATATTCTGTATTGTATACATATAAATATCCTCATAATATCTCCGAAATGTACATATTTACGAAATAAGTTTGTGAAATAAAAAGACACTGCAGATTCTCAGGCTGGCTAGAAAAATATTTTCCCGTCAAATTCTTCCATTCTAATTCATTTTTTTAAATTCTTATGTGATTTAGTAATCGAATCACAATAAATCACATTTCGCTCTCAACGAAGTGCTTCTTTAATGTGATATCGCATCTTCACAGGTGTAAAATGTCATTTCACAGTTCACTAGGATTCCACATTTATCTCGCTTAGAATGCGTCTCGATTCTAGATGTCGTAATCATCCGTTAGATGAATGTTGACTCACGTGTCTGTGCGGTTGGTGAAATGAGAACGTCGGTGATGATTAGCCAATTAAGTGTAGACTATGCGCGCCACTTGGTGAAACATTTCTTACTTCTCATAATTGGTAAAAGCAATTTGCGAACTCATAAATAATGTTTCGAGGAGAAAACATTATTAAACATTATTAAAGTAATATTAATAAATTTTCGCAAACAAAAATGAAGAGCACGAGTTTTCTTGCTATTGTAGAAGAATAAAAAAATTTCAAGTAAATAAAAAAGTATTCATGACTTATACAATCCATTTTACAGTTTGTAACGTGCGTTTATATTATATTTTTATGTTCTATTATGATTGTTTTTTTTTATTGCAGTCGAAACTTATCTGAGCCCCGTGGAGACACATTGCATGAATATTGATTATTTCATTCCGGATGAAGAAAATCAAACTAGAGGCTTCTCTGACGATGCCATGACACGATTACGTAAGTATAGCGCGATCAAATTTCTTAATATACTTGGTGTACATATATTATAATTAAAAAAATTTTTAAGTTTATCTTGAATGTAAAAAATTAAAATATCAAATTCCTATGTAGTGTAGTTAATTTATTAGGTGTACAAATTAATTCGGTGCCTTTTTTCATAATTCAAAGTTCTCACACTAAGCGAAGTACACATTTAATATTCGAAATAATCTCCATTGTTTTCGATGACTTTACACCATCTTTCGGGCAACTGACGAATGCCCTCGCGGAAGAAATTTGACGGTTTTGATTCGATAGTCATCAATAAAGGCACCGAATTAATTTGTACACCTAATATATATGTATGAATATTTCATACATTTATGTTATACTATGTATATCTACGTATGCTAAAAGGCGACATCATAAAAAATTGATTGTATGTGAGACAATATCTCTTATCCCCGTCTCTACAAATGCACATTAACTTTAATCTTGGTTCAATTTACTCTTCATTTTTTTCCAGTTCTGAGAATTAAAAAAAAGATGAAGAATAAATTGAACCGAGATTAATGTTAATCTACATTGATAGTTAATCTAAATTGATAAAAAGCATTACGTATACAAATAATATTATAGACGCTTTAAAGTTCGGTCACATTGCTATGCGGGAATGGAAAGTTTACTATAACGATTGACTTGGCAACGTATGAACGATACACTTGGGGGAAAAAACATATATAACTTCATAAAAATATATATATATTCCTAATAAATTTTTTATTAATATAAAAATAAAAGACGGAATTTTTTTATCACAATGCATGCACAAGTGACGTAACTGCACATTAAAATTTTTTATCATTATCGCAGATATGGGGAGATCCGTGATAGCTCTATTCATGGTCGCCTTTCTTGCGATATTTTCGGCATTCTGGACAGGAGTAGTGGGCTGCTGGAGAAGATCAGCAGGGAACATCACGGCTACAGCAATTCTGATGTTATTCGCCTGTCAGTATGCATCCTGAGATGTTGTTTCAGAGTTTACCCGATATTCTCTTTTGTTTTGTTTATCGGAATTAAATATTCGTAAACGAATAATTTCGAATATTGCATAATAAGATTGTTTATGAAGAAAGTAAACATTTTTTATTGGAAACGACAAGATGGCATTTCGAATAAAAATTCGCAAATAAAATTTAAAGACAGAGGTCGTTTGAAAAGATTAAATCGTAAGTTCGCGAGCGTTCGTAAAGATTCAGAAAATTTTTTATACGTATAATATGATATTACTGGAATATATCTATTTATATATCGTGCAGGTCTACTAAGTGCTGGCGGTATGGGCCTCTGGCATGGCGTCGAGTATTATGAAAAAGAAAAAATCGTCGGAGAAGAATATTATCAGCAATGGAGTAACGTAAGTACTCAATTTTTTTTCGAAACTCTATTACTTAAATATAATATCGAAATGCTCTATAAAATGTTAAAAATTGTCGTTAACTGTTATGTTAATCGCACCAAAAGACTAGGAATCTGTTGTGATGTTAATATTATTAACCGAAATTGCCTCAGCTTTTACTTCATCTCTGTAAGTTTCCTGAATTATTTATATACACACACGAATATCTAAATGTCAACTGCAACTGATCAATTAGGCAAAATACGCAAATTTTTTTTTTCAAATATAATTTTTTAAATAAAATCTCACTGTGTCGAGAGAGTACATTTTCTTGTATACAGAACCAAAAATTTCTGAATGATATAATTGAAGTGAATTACTAATTGATTTTGTAGAACACAGTAATCACAATAAATGCAATGGAGATCCAGAAATAAATTTCGCTTATCTCGCATCAGAGAAATATTCTTCCAGGCATCCGATCGCACCGAGAATTTCCACGAGACCAAGGTGGCAGGTGTAACCATATGCAGCAGATTTTGATGAAATTTTGCCCGCAGGTTTTAAGGGACAATACGGCGCAATGGTACGACTGGTCGTTTTACCTCGCCTGGCTGGGGGTAGCTACGTGTCTGGGCACAATGACGCTATTCCTGATCGCAGCATCCTGCCTGAGAAGGGAGCGTGCTCGCGAGCAGGCCCAGAACGTTCAGTACATCATGCCAGGTGACACGATAACCATGAAACGGCCAAACTAACTCGTCCCGTATTTTTTCTTTTTGTTTGTTATATACGCCCGACGCGGCACGGCACGGCACGGCACATGGGGGCAAAACTGTCTAGGTCCTGAAAGACAACTCGCTAATCTCGTACGACTGGTCGTACGTGGTCGCTTGGGTCGGCGTCGGTTGGTCGTTGGTCAGCGCGATCTTGTTTAGCGCTGCGGCGATTTGCTTGAGGGGCGAGAGAATGCGCGAGGAGGCGATGAACATGCAGTACCTCATGCCTGGTACATATTTAACACCTATTGCTTTTGCCGACTTATACGCGCACGTGGTAATATCCGACTAACGTACTATATTATTCGGCGATACTCTTGGAGAAAATCTTAATTTTAAATAAAGTTGAGGTTTTTAAAATGTGTGGATAATTAATAATTTATTTTAAAAATTTTGAATAAAAGTGATCTAAGAACTTTAGATTTGATCTCTGTTATATTATAAAAATAAGATGTAACATATATATATATATATAATTAGTAAATTGTAACGTTTTATTTATAAACGTAAAGACTATAAAAAAGATTTCTTAAATCGATAATTTTAATTTTAACTTCAAGTAGAAGCTAATATCAACGGTATTATTTAAAACACGATAAAACATTGAAATTGTTCCTCACATATTTTTATAATTGTAATAGAGGTTAATTTTCCTAAGAAGAAATCGCTCGGGATACCACGCGTCGGATTCCACGTGCACCGGGTATTTTACTAACTTTAGTTTACGATCATCGAGCTTACAAGGAACGCGTTCCTTGATACGAGGATAACGATCACCTCGTCATTATATTAACTGGATTCACTCGAATGAGAAGCGTCAACACGGAAGCAAACGATGTCATTAAACGGTTTCCCTAGTCTTACTTACTTTTTGTAAATATCTATAATAACGTATTTTACGGTTGTACCTCAAACGCTTCCGTATTAACGCATAATAATTATCGTTAGCACGATGATGCATATAATTTTATAAGTACTGTTGTCTATGAATATTAGTAAAAAGTAGTAACCTTTATTTCAGGATTTAGCTTATCCAATATTGAGAATATATATTTTAGTAAACGGTTGTAACATATATCCAAAGTTGAACAGAATTTTGTGAACTAATTGAATGACAATACAGACGAGATTAATCTAATTGCTTGTTTAATCATAACACAATCAAACCGAAAGACTTGATCCCAATAACGCCTTGTATATAAAAAGATCTCGATCCCTCTCTCTTTTTCTCTTTACATACGATTCGAGTAATATAACGTTAATTCTACCGATGAGAGAGTCCGGTGATGTTATGAAAATATTTTCGCTGCGAATTTGCGAATGCGAAAAATGAGACCACGCAAAGTTGGTTCGATGAATATTAACTCAAAATTGTAGCAAATTGCATGGGGAGATTTTTAATTTAGTTTTTTTTATACAATTTTCTCAGCTAAATTGACCAAAGGAGCGAAACCGCGCAGAAAATTATTGATCGACCGAGTATTTAAATTTGCCTCTACTCTATTAATATTTTCACGATTTTTATTAAAACTGGATTAAAAATGAGTAAGTACTTTTGAAAAGTAATAAATGCCATTTATAATATATCGCGCACGATTATATTTTGTTGATGAGTGCTTATTGAGGATAATAATTCGAAAGCGATTAAGATCAACTCTGATCTGATCGGATTTAGACAGGTCGATTATCAAATTGCAGATATCGCGTGAACGGCCAATATTAATTTTCGCGAGACTTTTACTTGTTAGCCTCACGCTCTGTTTCCGCTACGGATCGGAGCACTGTCACGCTCTAATCCTGAAGGAAACTTTCTAGTTCTCCTCCGGATGATCGACTAGATTATAGAATGCACTTGCCGTCGTAAAAATGCATTTCGAAATTTTTAGAAAGAAAACGCAACACCGAGTCATGTGATTTATATTTTCACTGATATATTTTTCCTCCCGTTAGATAATTCATACTGTAAAAATTTCTCCTAATAAGAATATTTCTTTATTAATTACAATCAAAAAGATCCATTTGTTGATATCAATAAAAAGTTTTGTTTTATAAGATTAATTATATTATCGAGTGTGTGAGAAATTTCAAAATAGCTTTTGCGTACTTTTTCATAAACTTTATTTACAAAATAAACAATAAATTTTTTAACAACTTTTTCATATCACTTTCTTTATGCAAAATACGATCTTATTTGGATGCAGTTTCTGTAATATGGTCTTCATCGTCCGATGTTACACGTAGCTGTTTTAGAAAACAGCTCACGCAAAAATAAACGTTCATGTGAGATAATTGTTTTTTCCTTTGAGTAAAAGAACGGAAAAACAGTGATATCTAGAAGTAGATGCTCGAAAGCGACACACTTGCCTAATTTTCCGTCCCGTACACCCATCGACCTCTTGTTGTAAAAGAATTTCCGTGTTTGCGCATTCAGCTCCATACGTTAACTGATTGATGTCAGAATTCATGTAGAACAAAAAAACAAATTTGTCCCATTTTGCAACGATAGAGTCTTTCTACAAAACGGCCGCTCAGAAATTTATAGAGCAGAATAAATACATTTTTCAGTAGATTAATTATTCAAAGATGCGGTGAAGACAATTAAAATAAATGTAAAAGAGAAAATATAAATTAAGAAAATTATTTTCTCAAAAAAATAATTCCTCCGACATCGATGGAGAGACAAGCAAATTAGATCCGGCATTCAATGTGTTAAGCACATATTGTTAATGATTACATATAACCAGGACTGGGTAAAATGCCTTTCGAATTTCATTTAAAATACTAATTGTAAAATACTTTTAAAAAATGTATTTAAAATGCAAAATGCAAAAGGTTTTTCGAATCCATTTTAAATGTAAAATGGATAAATAGGTATTTTAAATAGTTTTCCAATGCAAAATGATTTTTCCTGCTATAGCGGAAAAAAATTTTTATGAAAAAGTACAGAAAAACTACATAAATTGAAATAATAAATATTGAGATAATAAATATAAAACAATAAATAAAGGCTCGAAGTTACACTAATCGAAATGATGGTACAGTGAATAAGCCTATGTGATCCAACACAAGTTCTGAATGCTGTCATCTTTATTTATTACACTGAAGAGGACCCAATACCAAGGTTGAAACGTTCGTCTGTATTTTAATTTAATTGTAATTGATATATATGTACATTTACACACGAAGAACTTGTGTTGGCTCACATAGGCTTATTCACTGTACCATCATTATCGATTAAATTGAGATAAGATCTTAGAAATTCTTAATTTTTCGTAGATATTCATAGTGACATAGATTGAGATTTGTTTGTCTCAGAAATCTATAGTTTTTCGTAGATATTCGTATGTAAGACGTAAAGTGGCGTTGTTTGTGGGCGATGAACTTCTTGGTTTTTCAAACAAATAATACTATATCCCACTACAAATATCTATGAAAAACTAAGAATTTCTAAGATCTTGTTTCAATCTATGTAGTTTTTCATAAAAACTTTCCGCCAAGATGGTATAAATTTTATAAAAGTATTTTACGTTTAAAATCCGTTTTCAACGAAATTCGAAGCTCTGACTACAGTATTATAAATAAAATATTTCTGACGGGAATATTTAAAATTTTTTAATATTATGATTTCGAAACGGGATCATTTACTTCAATAAATCAAATTAATATGAAAAGCGCCGGTTACGGTCAAAATTAGATGTTAAGAGTAATATACATTTTTAGAAATGTATATAATATTTTACATAATGCTGGAACACTTATTTTTTATTAAGAGTCAATATTTATGGACTATCTGGAATTAATTTTCTCTTTGCAGTTTAATTTGCAGTTTATTTGAATATTCATAAAAATCTTTGGCCAATCATGGGACTTAGTTCTTCTTGTACGTCAACGATTCTAGGGAAAATTTGTGAAAACATAAAAAACCCATTTACCTATTTTATAAATGGTTAAATGATAAGACAAGATTCCATTTCAAATGTAAAATAAAAATGGTTTTTCAAAAACTATTTAAAATGGAAAATGCAAAATGCCATTTTCATTTTAAATACATATTTAAATTGGAACTATTTTAAATATTACCCAGCCCTGCATATGACCTACATACATTTTACAGTTTGCGAAGTAAAAGAGTAAATTCAAATCATCGCTTTATTTAGTATTATTTAAAAGTAGTAAACAATTGTTCCTTATATATATATATATATACATATATCATCTTTAGACTTTCATACATAAAACTAACCGTAACAGAGTTTAGATTATCATATTATAATTTTAAGAATTAGTTGCCTCATTTATCGCACTTTTTCCTTTAGCAGAAAAGCCAGGTCAAATCTAATCACCTTTTTAATTTTCCAGTGTACCCGCAGAAACAGCAGTACGCGTATGCCGGATATCCGGCACCGGCAGCGTATCCAGGACCGTATTATCACGGTTCCCAATACGGGCCCTACAATTACTGAAGGAACTCGGCCGATCGGCATCGATGGAAAGAAAGTATCCCGAGCACACCAGTGCTCGTCGCTAACATCGAAAATTCGCATCACTTAGCAGAACGAGGACCAAAAATATTCAACACGAAATCCGAGAGGCTCGTCAAAGTCGATCCGTGATCGCGCTCCGTGATACAAAGGATCTATCGATCCGAAGCGATCGCGTCGATCTCGAACTCGTAAATTTAATTTCAATTTAAAATTCGTGGCTTCGGATATTACGCGAGATGTAAAAACGCCACGAGATCCCCAAAATATAAAGCTCTTTTCTTCCTGCGATAGACCGATCGTTTGACTCCATCCGACCAGAAGCAAAAACTCTAGGCAATACGAAAATCCGAAAGATGTCCGAGAGAAGTGCAAAAGGAATCCGAAAAGGATTCCCTTTGGACCTTTTTACCACATCTTTTGGACATTCGCGTTGTTCGGGAAGCTCGACTTGCGCGAGACGGTTGCTCAAAATACGCGTACTTACACTTTAGAAGCGAGATTACTTTGTATTTTTCCAGTTCGATAAGTAAGATATCGATCATCTCTCACGCATCTTTCCCGTATGTGCTTATCGCAAGGGAGATATGCATTCCCATCGTACATCGTTTCCATCGGACTTCGATCGGTTTCACCGAGCTTTCTCGCATTCTCATTAACGAGCGTTACACGGGTGATTCATTCATCACGGTAACGGTTCCCGGCAAAAAGAGAAGGTCTGACGGAAAATGCAGTCGGGCGATCACCAGATTTAATAGACGCTACTCGCCTCGATGAAACTCGGTAAAAACAGTCACGAGTCTTGTAATTGATTCAATCGACCATACGTTGATTGAATTTAGATCTGAGAAGCTTGGCTCGCGTTGACGGGCGTCGCGCGTTTACTATTATTTATTTAACGCGATCGAAACTCAAGTTTCTCTTTCGAGAAGAGGACTGCCGAGTTGCGCGAGCAAAGTGGAAAACGACACAAATACGACATCACGTTCATTAACGCTCTCATCTCCTTGGTAGTACCAAATATTAAATAAATATCCTTACTCTAAAAACAAATATCGCAATTTCGTGAGAATATTTGTATGCACCGTGAACTTGGTTTTAACACTTTCGAGTGCAACGGAACAACAGATTTAAGTTGAAAGTATTGAGATACGCAATTAAAATATAAGTGATTTGAAGGAAAATCACTTATATTCTAATTGCGTATATTTTGTTATTTCCTTGCGTCACTTTATATTAATCGTACTTCCAATAAAATCTATCGTTCCACCGTTGATGTGCGTGCACGATGCAAGACTTGATTTAATTAAATTAAAAATTTTCAGTTTGAAAATGTCAAAACTACTTTCTCAGGCGTGTACAATCTACGTAACGTAAAATGTAAACGTTTATGTAATATATGGTGCTACTAGGATCGTTACGCGGTAACAATTTGCGAAGTTCGTCTTATACGTAGCTCTTTGATAATGTTGATTTTTGTAAGGTTCATTACATCGATATTTCTATGTAAGATGTTAGGAAGTAAAGAAAAATATTTCAATTATTTTATATATATATTTTTTAGCAAATAAACTAAATTAGAATTGCTCTCTTTTCCTATCTTTTTCTTTCTCTCTCTTCATAGATTTCATTTCCATGCAAATAGATTGCTTCACACACACACACACACACACACATACATACATACGCACAAAACAAACACACTCTACTTTCTCTTTTAATTTATCTCTCGTCATAGTTTATTTTTTATTAGCTCCTTATAAGTGAGCAAACAGCAATATTTTGTAAAAGAGAATATAAATTATAACATTGATTATATATTATAAAGATACGAAGAATTTGAAGTATAACTAAATTAAATATATAATTATGTAATTGCGTGATAAAGCTAAGTAAGATTTAGAAATAAAAAAACGCAAGTATAAGAAGATTAAAATAAAAAGTAAAACTAGCGAAAATTTATAAGATTTTAAATAATAGAATAAATAACACAAGGAGTTTATATCAAATTGGCATTCATATCTGATATCCTCCATTGTCCTTTATCTCAAACAATCTTAATTCTCGCTTTATTGCGCTTTATTGTACTACACATAATATAATTATATGTTATAATCCATTTATAAATTGCATATTTTATAAAAGGAAAGAAATTTACGTACAGATTCTTTAATTAATTTTAATTATGTGTTGTAACGTAATATAATAATAAACAATATTATTTTAAACTGTTTATGTGAGAACACAATCAATATTAAAATGCTTATAACGGTCGAAGCTGAATCTTTAATACTTAAATAATTCAATCATGAATTACTAAATATACTATATATACTTGCATATACGAGGGGGGACCCAAAAAAAACGGGAATTTCGTCATAACTTCTTTATTTCTCAATATTTTAACACCAAATTTTGATCACCTTCAAAGTATTCGCCATTGACCACAACGCACTTCTCCAAACGATTCTTCCATTGTTCAAAACAGTTTTTAAATTCACTCATCGGGATGTCCTTTAAGCCTTCCAGCGATTTTTGTTTCACCTCCTCCACAGTGGCAGATTCGATTGCAGAGGTGTTGTGCACGCGGAGTTCGTTCCCCCGGGTCAAACTGCCAACCAGAAGCTCTACTTGGAGGTTTTTGTTCCCCAGACTCAAAAGGAATATGAAAGGAAAGCGTTTTGCCACTGTGGAGGAGGTGAAACAAAAATCGCTGGAAGGCTTAAAGGACATCCCGATGAGTGAATTTAAAAACTGTTTTGAACAATGGAAGAATCGTTTGGAGAAGTGCGTTGTGGTCAATGGCGAATACTTTGAAGGTGATCAAAATTTGGTGTTAAAATATTGAGAAATAAAGAAGTTATGACGAAATTCCCGTTTTTTTTGGGTCCCCCCTCGTATACCATACTTGTAGTCTTTCGAACTGCGCGCCGAATTCTTTTCCGGACTATATAAACGCAATTAAATTACTGCAGTAACCTCGCGAATTAAATTGACAAGTAATTTTAATAATTTTGGGTAATATTTTTTGCAATAAATTTAATTACAGTCTTTCAGTATATTAATATCTTTATAATATGATGCTTGATTGAGCATCAAAATTATTAAAATTACTTGTCAATTTAATTCGCAAGTTTACTACCGTAGTTTAATTGCGTTTATGGCTGCGGTCCATTTGACGCTACAAACGCTTCGAAGAATTCTTTGATTAATCAATTCGTATAATTCTTTGTTCTGATTGATCGCTCAAACGCTTCGAAGCGTTTATAGCGTCAAGTGGACCGCAGCCTATGACAGTGTTCCAAATTTACTGCCAGCACTGAAAATACTACAGTTTACGTTACGTGCACTATAGATTTTCAGTACTGGCAATCAATTTTGGAACACAGCCTATATAGTCCGGAAAAGAATTCGGCGCGCAGTTCGAAAGACTATACAAATATGGTATATATGCAAGTACGTATATAGTATATTTAGTAATTCAAGATTAAATTATTTAAGCATTAAAGATCCAGCTTCGATCGTTATAGGCATTTTAATATATTGATTGTGTAATAATAATAGTTAAGACTTTAAATTAAGGAAATAGTATCGCAAAATATAAAGCAATATTTAATTTTTAAAACATGTCAAATCGTTGAATCACTACAAAATCACCAAGAAAAGTCGTGACGGAGAGCTGACTACATGGGGTGCGACATGCCTCGGTGCATGAAATATTTTACCTGGAAAAGGTTCGATTGCTGCCAGCAAAGCGAAAGCCCGACCGTCAGAAGGCGCGCTGGAAGGTAAGTGCGTGGGTGGACGATCAAATGTGTAAATTGTCCAACTAAAAAAACTGTCGATGTGCACGGTTGAAAATTTACATAGATATCGAGGATCATGAGAAAAAGCAGTAAAAAAATTGTCAGAAGGGTAAGTGGAAGCTAAAAGGTTGTCAGAAGCTGCCAAAGTTGCGAAAAATATCGGAAAATTTATATTTTAAAGAAAACTTCTGACAATTTAAATTTACACTGTTTACGTATAGAGCAAAGTATGTGCAAAGTGTCAGAAGTTAAGGTAGAAGAGATTATGAGAAAATTGGGTGCGAAGTGCAAGAGCGTATTTCGGCGCGCGGCGCAGCACCGATCGCTTTTCTTTTGATTTTCACACCGTACATATTTTAGAGCATTTCTGACAATTTATCTGATTAATTAAGGGGGACTTGAGAAAGTATTATCAAAAAGTCAGAAGTCAACTCAAAAGATATTAATTTTTGTAAGAAAAAAATAAATTTTATTCGTAGTAAATATGAAAATAATCAATCGGTTTCATATTCTGTATGTTGTACATTTTCTTCATTTTCCGGATTTTCATCGCTGTCATACTCGAACTCCTCGTCATCAACTGAAAATAGTAAATATTTAAATAAACTAAATAAATCATATATACCATTAAGAGTCGCAAATCGAAAATTACCTTCCGAATCCTAATTATCCAAAATGACATCTTTTACTGATGGTGGCAACTGTGGGCCTTCAAACCATAGAAATTCATATTTGCTATAAGTTAAGGTCCATCCTGATGTTTCGGGCTCAAATTCAATTGGATCCCGTAATGTTGCCGTATTCCACAAGTGTGCAATATAGTGTGCCCTTCTCATTTGCTGTAGAAGCTCGGTGTAGCAAGGTGGCAAGCAGGAAGCGTCAAAGTTTTTCAAATTTGCTTTTAAAAAGGCTTCATCAGTATTTTTAACTTTATAATTTCGGAGGAACATTCGATATCTGACGTTATTGATTTTTTTTTGTGTCTCATATCCGTACATACATAGGTCGTCTGAAAAGTTTTGAGCCTCAACATGAAGATGGCATTACTCGTCAAAACAATTTTGGTACTATAATCGTACGTACTTTGAAAGATACCTGCGAAAATTGTAGCTACTTCCGGCGCTTAGTTGTTGTCCGACAGTCATTTGTGCCAGTCAATGTCAATGTTTTTGTAAAAATGGAAAAAATCGAATATAAGCAGTCGCCATGATAAAAATTCACGAATTGCGGTTCGAATTAATTGACCATCCACCGTATCCACCAGATCTGGCCTCCAGCGACTTTTTTCTGTTTCCTAGGCTCAAAGTTTGACTCGGAGGACAGAAATTTTCATCGAACGAGGTCATCGCATCCGTAGACGCCTATTTTGCAAAGCAAGACGCTCAGTATTATTTGAATGGATTAAAGGAGTGGGAGCATCGCTGGAAAAAATGTATCGACTTAAAAGGAGACTATGTGGAAAAATAAAATTGAATTTGACCGAAAAATTACTTGTTTCTATGTGTTTAGACTAAACTCAGTGAATGTTCATTACGCGAGTTATTTTACATCGGCATTTTATATTCAAACTCATATTATTAAATGTGTGTGCTCGTTATCGATTTGCTTTCAACGATTATCTCCGTCGACAGTTATTCTGTTCAAACCGCGCTTGTTACCGGTACCGACACGGTCAGGATTCATGATAGTTTTTCTACCGATCAGCTGTTTACTTCGCGTCACACGATGTATACATTCGCAACCTTTACTTTGTGCTCGCGAAGCGAAGGATATCTCTCGACGCGTGTATGTACCTATCGCTTAACGATCAAGTTCAGTTGACTTCGAATAAAGCTCAGCAGCACATCTCATTGTACATCGCTCTAATTCTCTATTCTTTTCTACACCTTCTGACTCCTCGTGATTGTTCGCGTATATTTTCGACATCACCAGCGGACCTGGTTTCCGGTACCACTTTCCTTTCGCAATACTCACAACATTGCTGGTCCTTCGAGCCGAATAATCGGAATTCGCGAATTTCGTTATCAGAGGTGTTAGTATATCGGTGCCTGCTGAGCCGCTCTCGCTCTAACGCGATTCTCTCGCTCTAATACGATTCGCTCGCGCTCAGTCGCATAAGACAAACTCTATTCGCGGTGTTCGCGCACTCTCAACGTTCGCGTGTGCAAGTGAGCTTTTGGCAGTGTGGCAGTGAACTTTTGTGAATTGTGTATATCTCAAGTTCATCTCGACATTCGCGAAAATAGCCACTGTGACCGACGTCATTGCTCGACAGAACGATCTCTTCGGGCTCATCTCTCGTTCTATCGACAATCTCAATAAACTCGGAGCTGCACGGATCACTCGCGGCGCGGTCCAAAGTCGCTTAGGCTCTCTGAAGGCCAATTGGGAGAAATTCACCGTGTATCATGACAACTTGGTTAAAGCCAAGCATGCCGAGATAGAGCAGCTTCCATACGTTACCGAAAACGTGTACTCTCTCTGTGAAGAGAAATTCCATGAAGCGCACGGATTTATGCTCGATGTGCTGGACCAGTTTGATCGCAAAGCGCAGCATGAGGCTACTGTTACCAGCGCACCTAATTCGCTTACAGGATCTCACTTTCGACGATTACCGCGCATCGACTTACCGAGGTTTTCCGGCGACTACGCTCAGTGGAGCCCCTTTCGAGATCTCTTCAAGTCCATCGTTATGGAAAACAACGATCTCTCGGCTGTCGAAAAGCTCCATTACTCAAAAATGAGTCTCACCGGTGAGCCAGCGCAACATTTGAAGAACATTCCCATCACTAGTGAAAATCTTAAACGCTCGTGGGAAATTCTCGTGACTCGCTACGATAATAAACGAGTTCAGATCGACGCGCAATTATCCGCCTTATTCGCGATTCGCAAATTGAAAACGGCAGGTGCAACAGAAATAAAGAAACTTCTCGGCGATGTTAAAGAGGCGCTCGACACCCTCGAAACTCTCGAATGTCCAGTGAAATCCTGGGACCACATTATCGTCTTCATGATACATAAACTCGACGTCGAATCATTCAAGGAATGGGAGACAACTCTCGGTGCAAAATCTACATCTCCGTCCTTCGGTGATCTAGAACAGTTTCTGGTTGGACGCGTGCAAACCCTGGAATCAATCGAACGAGTCATGATGCCATTTAAGCAACCAGCTTCGAATTCTACGTCGGTACGTTCGCAGTCAAATGCACGAGCATACGCCGCTACCGCTGCCGTACAATAGTGTGCAGTGTGTAGCTCGGGACATTATATCGTGTCGTGCTCGAAATACCTCGAGAAGACTGTGAATCAATGACGCGGGTGGTCATCGCAAAAAATCTGTGTTTTAATTGTCTCGGACCTCATCACCTCAAGGCATGTCGCACTTCAAAACACTGTCGGTTCTGTCGCAAGCAACATCACTCAACGTTGCATGTATAGCTACGGTCGAATCCGACGCCTCGACGTCGTCCACTACGACGGCAATCCCCGTCCCGTCGGCTACCACGGACAACTCGGGAGCATCTCAAACCAACCGACAATTCGACGCCTCTCACACGTGCAGTCATATTGCCCAATCACGCATAATTAAACGCACTCCAGTGCTCCTTGCTACCGCCTTAGTTACGGCTATCTCTCGAACTGGAGAACGATTCCAGCTACGGGCATTACTCGATCAAGGATCAGAAGCTTCGTTTATCTCCGAGTCCGCTGCGCAGCTTCTAAAGTTATCACGTAAGCCAGCGTCCGTCCCGATTCTCGGAATCGGCGCACAACGCTCCGATGTCTCAAACGGACGAGTCTCTCTCGAAATTATCTCGCGGATCAATTCGGTATTCTCTATCAAACTGGAAGCTCTCGTACTGCCGAAACTCACCGCCTACTTGCCACCCACGAAGATTGCATCCACTCACTGGCCACACATCGACGGACTCCGCCTTGCGGACCCGAATTTCTCAATGCAAGGAAAAATTGATTTAGTTCTCGGTGCAAGTATCTACGCGCAAATTCTCGAAAGTGGCATTCGCCGCGGAAACGGCGAATCACCGATCGCGCAAAAGACCGCTCTCGGATGGATATTATCCGGACAACTCTCCAACGATAACGATCATCTCTCGCAAGACGCAATCAACGGATTTCAGTGTTCTCTCGATTGTGAACTTCTCGATCTACTCCAACGGTTTTGGCAACAAGAAGAAATCGTGCCGTCGCCTAATGCTTCGTGCTACCTGCACACCGGAAGAAGCTCAGTGTGAACTTCACTTTAAAACGACTCATTCTCGCTCACGGGCGGTTCGTAGTTCAGTTACCGTTCCGACAAAGTGTGAGTGATTTCGGTGACTCTCGTGCTCCAGCGTTCAAGATGCTGCGTCGCATGGAAACACGCTTCGAAACGCACGCATCCCTCAAAACTGCATACGCGGAATTCTTACGTGAGTATCTTGAGCTGGATCATATGCGCCTTTCAGGCTCTCTAGACTTCGCGAGACGAATTTTTTCTGCCGCATCACGGTGTCATTAAAGACTCTAGCTCAACGACGAAACTCCGCGTCGTGTTCAACGGATCACAAAAAACCAATCTCGGAATCTCGTTAAATGATTGTCTTCATATCGGACCGAAACTTCAAACGGAACTTACGGATATCATTATTCGTTGGCGTCGACATCGTTTCGTGTTCGCAACCGATATCGAAAAAATGTATCGCCAAATTCGCGTTCACCAAGACGATTGGCCGTTGCAAAAAATTCTCTGGAGAGACTCGCCCAGCGAGAATCCGCGCGAATATTTGTTGTGTACAGTGACATACGGTCTCGCGTGCGCGCCATATCTCGCTCTTCGTTGCTTACAGCAACTCGCTCTCGAATTCGAAACCACGCGCGCCTTTGCTGCAGAAATCATTCGTTGCGACACATATGTTGACGATATTCTGTCAGGGGCAGATACAGTAGCTACCGCAAAAGAAAAAATTTAGCAACTTCAAGACACGCTCACGGCGGGCAGCTTTAATTTAAAAAAGTGGGTTGCAAATTCTCCGGATCTGCTCGCAAGCATCTCAGTTCACGATCAGGAAATGTCCGCGATCCTACCGGTCAGCGATCCGGTTACGCGCTCGGCGTTCAGTGGAATCGACTGAGTGACAATTTCATATTCTCCGCGCCGTCGCCTCCGCGGACAGTCGCAATCACGAAACGCTCAGTACTCTCGTTTATCGCGCGCATCTTTGATCCGCTTGGATGGCTCGCGCCGATCATTATCAATGCAAAAATCTTTATGCAAGAACTGTGGACTATTCGTCTTGATTGGGATTGCGAACTTCCGGACGACCTCAAATCTCACTGGATCGACTTTCTCGCGCAATTTAAAAACTTGTCGGTGATTTCCATTCCGCGCTGGTTCGGTACGAGTTCGGATACCCTCGAAGTGCAACTTCACGGATTTTCGGACGCCTCGCAACACGCCTTCGCGGCGGTTGTTTATATTCGTGTTGTTTCGCCTAGTGACATTCGCGTGACCTTCGTCAGTGCAAAGACAAAAGTGACTCCTCTCAGACGCGTAACAATATCTCGACTCGAGTTATCCGCTGCCGTGCTTCTCGTAAAATTGATTCGCAAGGTTCGCGACGTGCTCGACCTGACTCGCTCAACCTCTCATCTCTGGACCGATTCTACTGTCGCGCTGGCCTGGATCAAGAGCCATCCGTCAAGATGGAAGGAATTCGTGCAACATCGGGTATCGTTCATACAAGAACTGTCAAACTCTCGTTGGCATCACATCGCTGGGAAAGAAAATCCCGCCGACTTGGCATCGCGAGGAATCTCTCCGCAACGACTACAGCAGGAGCGGCTCTGGTGGTCGGGACCTCAATGGCTCCAACGAGCCTCCACTGAGTGGCCTGCCTCCACCGGCACTCTCAGCCCGGCCGCACAAGGAGAGGAACGTGCACGAAGCTATGCCGTCGCCATAGTCAGCCCCGAACCGGAGGCATGGGACCTTATAAAACGATACTCTTCTCTCACCAAGCTACTCCGCATCACCGCATGGATTCGACGCGCCATCGAACGTTTTCGCAAAACTACCAATGCACGCGCCGCTCAAGATCCTCTCACTCCGCTCGAATTGGACTCTGTGCTCGCCTTCTGGACCAAATTGACGCAATACGCGTGCTTTTCTCCGGAAATTCAACTCATCAAAGCAAACAAACCACTACCGAAATCAAGTCCATTACTCCGCCTCATTCCGTTTATCGATACCGATGAATTGCTTCATCTCCGAGGTCTCTTTAAAGTGACATCGGGCTCACAATCTTTACCAAATCGGAGCTCTAGTTCTCGTCAAGGACGAACAACGACCTCCCACCAAGTGGTCTCTCGCACGCATCATTGACGTACACCCTGGCTCGGACGGACTCATCCGCGTCGCTACGGTGAAGACGGCTACCTCAACTCTCAAGAGACCGATTGTGAAGTTGTGTTTGCTACCGAGAGTAACGACCGATTCAAATGAACAGTGACTATATTCATAATGTAAACTCCCGCCTAATTTGATTTTATTTCGGTTCTTTTCGACAACTAATATAGTTGCCAAGGCAGGCGGAATGTTTAGACTAACTCAGTAAATGTTCATTACGCAAATTATTTTACATCGGCATTTTATATTCAAACTCATATTATTAAAGGTGTGTGCTCGTTATCGATTTGCTTTCAACGATTATCTCCGTCGACAGTTATTCTGTTCAAACCGCGCTTGTTACCGGTACCGACACGGTCAGGATTCATGATAGTTTTTCTACCGATCAGCTGTTTACTTCGCGTCACACGATGTATACATTCGCAACCTTTCCTTTATGCTCGCGAAGCGAAGGATATCTCTCGACGCGTGTATGTTAAGCGTGTACCTATCGCTTAACGATCAAGTTCAGTTGACTTCGAATAAAGCTCAGCAGCACATCTCATTGTACATCGCTCTAATTCTCTATTCTTTTCTACACCTTCTGACTCCTCGTGATTGTTCGCGTATAATTCCGACATCACCAGCGGATCTGATTTCCGGTACCACTTTCCTTTCGCAATACTATGTTAGGCTTAAAACTTTTCAGACGACCCTCGTACTGCAAACGAATGCCTGTATTTTTGCAAAAGTATTGTCTATATCGATCCCCGTATCTCCTAAACTAGCGAATGCTTGCTGAAACTCCTCGTTTTTTGCGAGTTTTTTTAAATGGGCGCTGTTTACCTTTCCTAAAAAATGCAGGATTATAATCGCAACCGGTAAATGCATGAAATCCCGGCAATGCTTTGCACAGATCTAATCCTAAATGTTCATGAAGTACATTTACATCTATAATATGCCGACTTCTTGAAACGCCACATTCAATATAAATTTTTGCTGTTATTTTATGCAAATTACCTAACATAATAACAACAATATCTGTGTCAGAGCACTTTACGACAACAGTTGAATCTGAATTTATTTTAGACGCATGATAAATAATTTTAGTGTCGGCCTCTTCGTGCGAAGGACAAGAAAAATCTAATTTCTCCGTTTTGACAACATTACCATTAACGACGCTGAATGAATAACAATTAATAAAATTTAATAAAATAGTGTTACGTCCAACTCCTAATGTATGAATGGATCGTTTGAAAGAAAGAAGGAATGAGAAGGATGGAGTATGGAAGGACGTTAGAGCAGACGCTATGTCTCGCATGCATCCGAGTGAAAGGGGATGGAGCGAGTCG